GTCACCTCCGGGGCAGGCGGGAATCAAACTCATGCGGAAGTGGCTTTAGATTCTCAGTGCTGTGCTTTAACCCGCTGCGCCACCAGGAAGGGCCAAAGCTACAGCACTCTTAACCATGCTTCCCACATTTTTTAAGCTGAACCAGCCTGCACTTACAGTTGCACATATAAACATATGCAGTAAGAGGCAATCTGACTCACGTGAATAGGCTCAGACAGAAGATAAATTAGCAGACATCTGAGTGATGTCAGTCAATTGCATTACAAGATTGGCCAATATTTTTTACTGCCCGTCTATGTACTTAGAGCTTTCCAAATAGAATAAGCTCTATTCTTTACAATAACATGTTGAAGTGCATTTATTTTCTGGATACCACTCTTGCCCTGCCACATCTCCCAAGACGATCGCACAATATCTTTACGAGGATACCTGAGAGGATACTGACACTTCAGGTGTCAGAAGCTAAATGTACACCTCAAAATGTGGGGATTGGTGAGGGAGAAAATGCATTTCATGTTATAGAGTGCAACTTCCTGGTTGTATTTTATAAAAAGAGACTCATTTTGACATTACATAGTCAGCTTCAGCTTTTTCAAGAATATTACATTTTGTTTACCAACATTGTTTCCTCGTATGTAACCTCTAAATTAAGGTTATTTGCTTCTTTTGCTTACCATATGAAAATACATCTAGTCTCCTAGTCCTTCCACTGCTCTACCTCTACCTCTACCTCTAGAGGTTCTACCTCTATCGATGTCTGCTCAGTTAGTAACCAATAGAATTTGTTTATTCCTTTGCTTATTTTTACAAGCTTCGCGTGGAAGAAGTACTGATGCGTCTTGTGAATTTAACCTTAGTCATTTTAATTATGAGTAAGCATCAGGTAATTTCCTTATGACTTTTAAAACAGCAATATCTGAACATATAGAGAATCCAATGTATTATGAATTGTTTTATCTTGATCTTAGAATTAGGACATGATGTCAACTTCAAAATTAATATGTAGTCAATTTTATCTATGAATTTAAGTTTAAGATATTAAAGAAGGATTTGCACAATATTTATATATAAAGGGAACAACATCTAATAGGGCAAAAAATACAGCCCTACATAAACTCGAAGGTCCTAAAACCTTAGATTGCTAAAACCCTAAGACCCTTGGTTACTCTATAACTTTACACGGTTGGTGAGTACTTCCAGCACAGTGAACATTTCACTCACAGAAACTTCTACCAAGATGAAATATTCTTCTGATAGTATAAAATATGCTTTATAAGTAATATAAAAACGTTCATTTTGGTCACATAAGAAAGTGATCATTTTCTTGTTATTTCCTTGATTCAAGAAGGCCATGCTAAGCCAAGAGATGCAAACATTCCCCTCTAACATGACTGCAACCTCCAACGCCCCACCCCCTGCTCTGGTCTTACCTAGCTTGACCAGCTGGAGTGTAGATGTATTGCTTCCTCTCTCAGTGCAAGCAGTTACCGAGAGGTTGTAGATATCTCCAGGAGGCAGGCTGAGAATTGCAGTCATGACATTGCGTGTTACCTGCAAGATCATTAAATTGAGAATTCATGTTTCTGATAACTGAACTAGCGTGCCACCCAGGTAACAAGGGGACCATAATAGACGCTGCTGTACTCTACACTGACTGCACCTTAAAATGTGTTATTCCACCGAAAATGATATAGTTTCTGCAACTTTGCAAATGCAAAGTAACCCTCAGCATACACAAAACCACATTAGAAAAACAAATGCAATTTATTTCCTTATTGTGATATTTTCCTTCACATTTACAACATTTTAGAAAAGGCATTTAGTGGGTAACTACCGATATGATCACTGCTCAGCTCTGTTTAGAAGAGAAGAAACTCAGTGGTGTCTGTAGATACCTGGCTCTTAACTAAACCCAGTCACCTTCTAGCTAGAGTTGACTGTGTGACAATTATCACCAATGGACTATAAGTGGAAGTCACACCCTGAAAGTGATGGGCTTCCATGTGCCCTCCTCATCACTTCCTGGAACACAGCCGTAATGATGATGGCTCAGCTGTGCAGTCTCAGAAGGAGCAGTAAGACAGAAAGAACCTGGGCCCCTGGGTGGCCCCTTACAGAAAGGTGGCCTGGGAGTCCTGGGCTAAGGTGAGGAGACAGGCTTTGGTTTTCCTTGAGGCACTAACTTTCTGTTTATATTTTTATTATACTAGTTTAGTTTGGACCCTAACTAATATAATGTCAAAAAGGTTAATAAACCAGGACAAAAGAAATCATATTTCCAATGTACTCAGATACATAGGTGTTGGAGAATATATTTTAATATATTACCTATGGTTTTCTTGAAATTGAAACCCTAAAGAAAAAGGCCAACTCATAGCCTTACCTACAAATCAATATCTGCAACTATTAAAGATTAAAAGGTAAGCTTTATGAAAGGAATAATTTAATTTTCTTTCACTGTCTATTCTTAGAGCCTAAAACAATACTAACACTTGTTTAATGTTTCAGTAAGTGTTTAACAATTTTCAATAGTTCATGCAAACTAATGGGCAATTGCCTAATATTAGGATTCAAGGAAACCTACACTCTTTTTAATTTTCTTCTTTCCTTCAGCAACAACCATCCAGTGCAACATTCTAGAATGTGAGAGGTCAGTGGTGTCATCCCCGTAGGTCCAACTGATATATAACAAACTGTTGAAATATTCCACAGAAGTGATTTCTGGAGCAACTGGAGCTATAAGTAGGAAAGAGACACTTGTCACTCTAACAAACTAATAATTCTGAATGCACTTATCAAGTTACCATGTAATACTATGTAGAGTTAGAGAATTAAAAGGCACACCACATGATGGTCCTAGGGATTCCAATATTCTCAATAATGTGTTCAAAGTTGGTGCTACCAGGAGGTACTTGATTCATACAATGCCATGTTGTACAGCTAAGACACAAGACAGGCAGATCACATAAACCAGGCAACATCAAGGTCTTCTATACAGTATTACAATGATGAGGTTCCTAAAAATGTTCACTTGCCTGGGTATGCTTGTCAATACACATCAAGAAATTAATCTCATTAGGCATGATGACCTTATTTTTCAAGCAGTATTGTAAACTTCTGGGTTCTGTAAATCTTTTATAATATGGTACAGTGAAGGTATTTGTGGACATAAAGGATAATAGAGCAAACAAGGGACAGAAAACCACTACTTCATAAAGTAACGAGGCACTATCAATGATGGTATATAGCCCAGTGCTTTGCAGAAGATAGGCTCTTAGTAGAAAAAAACTCCAGACATAAATGGGAAGGTGATTTATGACAAAGGATTGAAGAGTATACTATGGAGAAAGGAAAGTCACTTCAACAAGTCTGGGAAAACTGAATATGCATGTGAAAGAATGAAACAAGATCATTCTCACACCACATATAAAAATTAACTCAAACTGGATTAAGTTTTGGATGGAAGATCTGAAGTCACAAAATGCACAGAAGAAAACATAGGGAAATACTCCACAGGGGATTCAACAACAGGGCAAGAGAAACAAAAACAAAAAAAGCAAATGTAACTACATCAAGCTACATAGCTTCTGTGGAGTGAGAGAAAGCATCATTAAAATGAAAATATCCCTGCTGAGTGGGAGAAAATATTTACATGTCATACATGCGACAAGGGGCTAATATGCACGATCTATCAAGAACTCATACAACTGGACAAAACAACCCAATCAAAAAAATGATAAAGATACTGCTCCAAAGACATACAGATGGCCAGTGGCCACATGAAAAAACACTCATTGTCACTTATCAGGAAATGCACATCAAACCCACAATGAAATGCCACCTCGTACCTGTGAAAATGACCTACATCAAAAAGACCTGAAACAAGTGTAGGTAAAGAAGTGGAGAGAAAGGAAGCTTGTACTTTGGTGAGAATGAAGACTGGTCCAGCCTCTATGGAAAAAGTATGGAAGTTCCTCAAACACAGAAAATAGATCTACCACTATGATCCAGCATTTCCCCTCCTAAATATGTGAGGGGTGCAAAAACAGTAAATTGAACAGGTATATGCACTCCAAGGTTGAGTGTAGCACTATTTACAATAGGCAGGTTATGGAAATAATTTGCACAGTGACAGCTGAGCAGGTAAAAATAAAAAAGCTGTGGTTACACACACACACACACACACACACACACACACACACACAATGGAACACTACTCAGCTACATACAAAAATGAAATCTTGTCATTTGCAACATGAATGGAACGGAGGGGATTAAACTAAGCACAATAAGGGAAGAGAAGAAAGACAAATGCTGGCTGATTTTAGTAATGCAAAGTCATACAAAACAAAACAAACCCTAGGAATCTGACTGCTGAGTTAAGGTTACTAGAGGGGCGAGTAAGGAGCAAACGGTTGGGGAGGAGACTCCAGTTCACGCTAAGTTTTATAGTATGTGTTCCCTGAAAGCATATTTTAATTAAATAACTGATAATTCTGAAGATTTTCAAGGCAAAGACACAAATGTATTTAAATTACATGGGCATGTTGGTTTGAAGATAGGCAAGAGTTCCATTTCAGGGTACAGACAAAGCCAGCCAAGGCATTTGGAGTACATCTACAAATCAAGAAAACGCTACTCATTTTCATAACATCAAGAAAATGCGTTCAGAACAAAAGCAATTATTCACTGATGATATTTATAACAGACAATAAAACCATTGCTCCATGTGACATTTCTATGGTTAGCAAAATTTTGAAATATCAGCAATGTGTCTAGCAAGTAACTTGACCCGACATATTTTACAATATCCTAATAAAGGATAATGCTGGCTTCTTTATAGCCTTTTAACATATTTCTATACTCTTCAGTATATACAAGCATCTACATGGGTATTTCTTCAAAGGGTATTTTCTCATGTTCTAATTCGAGTGAGGACAGGAAACACATGAAGTATGTATCTCCTCCTCACACATACAAGGTGTTCTGATTTTTACACACTATGGCTGTTGATGTTGATTTAAAAACCAAGCATATTGCTCAAAGGCCACAAGATGTCACTGTTTGTTTTCTAAACATTATTTGGTATGCTAGCCTAATTACCATCAGCTTCACTTGCAAAAGAAGGTCCTATTAAATCACACCTTATTCAAATATTTTGGCAATTTGGATGACAACTGAAATCACAGGGAAGCACGAGATTCTTACTTGCTTTAAAATAACACTGGCAAAAAAAAAATCCAAAATTTCAACTAGTGCTGAAAATAAGTATAAAAGTCAACTAGCATATATATATATGTTAACAATGACTTACATTATATCATTTAATTCTAACACTATCTTGTGAGGCACTATTATGCCCATTTATAAATGTGTGAAGAGAGATCATTTGTGTCACTTTGTCAGTGTCCATATGACTCACTGGTCTATCCCAGCAAAACATAAGACATTCCCAAAGCCCAGTCTGTTGCTGACAACACACAGCTCACCCAGGCAAGCAGCTCACTTACTAGAATCATCTGTGTACGCAGACTTATGTTCCCCTAAACGGCTACATCACCATCTTCATCAACCCCAGTCAGTTCCCAGCTTTGAACTCCAAACCCTATTTCTATTTCATGATGCAGCCCCACTTTGGAGCCCCACTGAGACTCTGTGAGGGTGAGGTTCGGCCTAACTGCAGGAGTTATAACACCCTAGATGTGCTCTTCAGCCAGCTGTTAGGCCATAATTTGAAGAGTGGTACCCATGAGGGCACAGAAGTCGAGTACTGAGGTACTCTGCTCCAGTTCTACAGCTAGAAATGAGCAGAGTCAGGCCTGCTCAATCAGATTGAAGATGCAAAAAGCTGGGTTTTCCCACACAGCTGTTCTATCTGAGAAGACTATTCCTTAATCTCAGTAAGTTAAATTTCATGAATTTCTATGATAGCAAAGTTTCATTATATAATATGCAATAATGAAAACAGACAAAGGCCTGACATAGCACACAAGAAGTAATTGGCATTTTCTCCTTTTGGGGTTTTCTATTCTCAGAATATTATTAGCATCTGAGGAGGAGTTCTGGACATTAGAAGTAAAAAAAACAAGTGATGAATTATGCAAGTAGACTGTGTGAGATTTTATCACCTTTGGTTCATTTTGTTCCATATATTTTATTCATTAATTTCAACAGAGTAAATCTAGAAGTCCAATCAGGAAAATATTTTGCCTAAGTTGTTCTTCATCTAAAACCTTTTTCTTTTCTCCATATAATTCTCAGTATACAAGCTGTCACCCAAACATTCTTGAAAAATCTTAACTCTAACAAGGGTGGAAGTTCCCCTTTCACTGCTACTTCTCATCACCTTCTCTATCTCTACATTAGGATGACAAATTATATAATGCAAGACTGAGTAAACTTTGGTGCCACTTATTTTACTAAAGTAAGAGGCTAATTTAACTGGGCAGTAAATTCTATTGTTCCCACATTACACATGAAAAAACTGAGGCTTAGAAAAGTCCACCTGCTCAAAGTCACATGTGACAAGGCCCACGATTCAAACCAGGTCTGCCTGTCTCCAAAGTCCACTTTAACTGATGCAGTGTACCATATTGGAGTCAGGTTGGGATTTTAAAAAAGTGAAGCTAGACTACTACCTCACACCATGCACAAAAACAAACTCAGGATGCATTAAAGAACTGGACATAAGTCCTGAAACCATAAATGTATGTAAGGAAATACAAGTGAAACATTACATGACAGAGACCTCATTCAGAAGGAAAAAGAAAAATATCGAATGGTTTCACGTATAGGAGGAAGAGAAGAGAACCAAATAAGACATGGGGGGGATTGTATTGTTACTACAATACACAACACAACAAAAAATTATAAACCAGAGATATCCTACAGGGGAGGGGGACCGGGAAGGATGGGAAGGAGGGAGAAAGGAATGTGGGGAACTGTGGAGGTGGAGGGGTGAAGTGAGGGAGGAGGGAAATAAACATTGGTTTAAAATGAATAATGTGAAGAGATATATAAATTAAAAAAAGAAAAATACTGATGGTTTCACATTTAGAAGGAAAGCAGAGGATCCAAATAAGTCATCAGGAAAAAAAAGTAATTATAATAAAGTAAAAAATCAAAATCAACAAGCCACTATAAACCTGAGACATCCTGTAGGGGGCAAAAGGGAACAGGATCAAAATAGGGGCGAGACGAGCACAAGGAACTCTGGTGATGGTGCTCGGGGGGAGCTGGTGGTGGGAATTTCACAGGGACCATAAACAAGATGAAAACATACATTGTACAAAAATTAAGAATGATGTAAAAATATGTGAAATTAAAAAAGAATGGGTTACTTAATAAGGAAATGGAGACACTCCAGCACATGTCATCAACACACGGGCAAAATAAGTTGAGTGCCATGTACAGCAGCGGCCTCTGGCTGACTCATATCCATTCGGGTCGATTCCAAATCAGACACACATAGATCAAGGCCAGGGACTAGAATAAAAATGATGTTTTAATTTTAAAAGATCATCATCTCAACAAGCAATGAATTTTTCAGAATCAAGCCTTTTCTCTTCCATGAAACTGATGCTCAGTGAAGGTAAACGACTAGGTCTTTCTGGAGACAGGTCCCTCCAGAACTTTCTCAAAGTAGTGCTCTCTGCTCACAGAACCATTTTCCCCACACGTCACTCACCTGTTATGAAGCTTATGGTGGAACTGTCACAGCAGCTCAATTCCGGGTCTCCCCAGGTCACCATGGTAACGCGAAAGTTGTAGTACCAGGCAGGCAGCAGCTTAGCTATTCTCTACAAATACAAGGAGACAAGAGGCCAAGCTGGGGCAGGAGAGCGATTTTAAAAATACTTATACCCCTTCCTTTATATTCCTTTTTTTGTATTTTCCAAATTTTCTATCAAAAAATATTAAAGGATTGCAGTGTGCTATATAAATCAAATGATAACTGAAAATACAGCTTTGAAAAGTGACTTGAAGGTGGAGACTCGAATACATCCTCTATTGGTTTCCTTTTGCTATTTCCTGCTATTTGCACAAGGATGGATGACCCTTTTCACTGCTACCTCTGATCCTCCTCTCTATCTCTACCTTAGAATGAGGACTAACACTGCTCAGTTTAGTTGGTCAAACAGTGCTACAGGGACACACCCCTTATTTCTCCCCGTTAGGTCCATAAGCATGTGTCTGGTGGGTTAGACTAACGGGGTGATCCCCTTGGAAGGGGGCAACTAAGCGTTCACATGTGCTGTTACTAAGCTACATTTTAAAAATGACTCCACTGTCAGAAAGATCAAGGTTCACCTGCTCTCCTGAACAGCATCTCCTGCTGACCTGCCATTGTGGGTATTTCACGGATCTGCATCTGTCAAGAACTGCCATCACTAGAACCAGGCAGTGACAGCAAAGCCTGAACTACTGAAGGCTCTGTCCTGTGCTTTTCTCCTTGGAGGCAGGCAGAGGCAATCAGCCCTCGAGAGCCCTCCTAAAAATGTGGCTTAACAAACTCAATTAGGGGTAAAGGCTGGTTTCACACAATTATTTTTCTCTCCCTCCTTGAAAACCCTCACCACCTTAAAAGCAAAAACTAAAAAGTTTTGAAAGTAGGAAGCTCCCTGTACGTATTTATGAGAAACCTCACTTATGGATAACTGTTCCTACAGGTTGGGAATCGAAAGACACATGTCTGCACAGGAATGTGTGAGGCTCTAAGAGCTAGTTAAGAGGATTACCACTGAGGCTGTTAAGGAGACCGTCGCGGCTATTTCGTAGTAGGTTGTCCACTCTGACGCCATGGTTGTAGGGTTGAAATAAAACATTTCAACCACGTATTTTCTGAACACTCCTAAGTAAGGTCTGGTCCAGCTCAAAACCACTGCTGTAGGGCCCAAGGGGTAGAGCATTAAATCCTTTATTCCAGTTGGCACTAAGAAGGGGAGGAGATGAAAAAAAGTTAAAAAGCCAGGAAGGAATTTTTAGTATTTTAGCAATGCCTTAAAACTTCTACTAACAATCAGGGTCTCCCCTGACACTATTACTGAAAAACACATTTGCCTGTTGGGTTTTTTTTTTAATTCCTGAGCAGGAAATGCTTGGGATGTACTCCAGTTTTACAGGTATAGTCACTTATTACTCTAAAGGTAGAATATTGGATGGGTAAGTATAGGGCTCCCAACTATAAAGATAATGACTTGATCTTGACTTTGTACCCCACTTAACAGTGGGGTACAAAAGACTGACAAAAGACTGTTATTACTGTGTTAATACTATATTAATGACTATTGTATTTAAGAGTTATTACTCTTGTCTTGGAAACTTACCAATGGCAAATGTCACAGGATCTGAGGGGGGTCCAATCAAAGGTCCTTTTCTTAGGTACATCACAACCTGGTACTGGGCCCCAGGGACCAGATTTTCAATAATGGACTTGCTTGAGTTCACCTTTAAACCAAACACCCAGTAAGATTTATTTAGAACTGGGCTTTTAGATGGTGACAGGCTGAAAGCATATTCAGGGATTCTGTAGAACCACAGATGCCTTTGAAATCCGGAGGTCTTTACTCATGCTGGAGGAGGTTAGATTTCAAAATAAGGCTGATTTATAGTTTATATAGATACTAAAAGGAACTCAGAACATTCCAATTCTACGGCTAGATTTATAAAGCACCATGAACTGATTTTATACCCATCAATGTCAATTGTAACTATGTACACAGAGCCACAACAGCCTTTAACCATAATCAAATCAGCAGTCCCATAAGGAAAGCCTGACATCTTAAATTGTAGTGTCAGCTGATTCCATACAGTGAACATTGCAAAATGACTTTAGTCTCTTCTCACTTAGAAGCATGTAATATCTAATTATAGAGATGGAAATAACCTTAAGAGATTATCTAGACTAAATCTCTCATTTAATAGATGAACAGAGTTAAACCAGAGAGTGATGAAGGTCACATATCAAGAGTTGACATCATGACCTCTAATCCCTGCGATGAGCAAGTTATGGTGCTAAGCCATGAGATACAGCAGTACACACTTTGCAAGGCATCGTGACCTCATAAAATAACACAGGAGAGAACATTCCTCATTTAGACAAGCTGTCTTTTCCTCATTTTTAGAACACTTGGTTATGTAACAAATATAAAGAAAGATAATGAGAGATGAATGTTCAATACCCAAGTTAAGTGTTGGCACGCACAAGGAGTGATGACTCAGGTAACAGGTCAAGAGGTGCTGCTTTGACCTTCAGCATCTCCAGTCCTTAAGTCTTCCTTTGTTGAAAGAACACAAATTTGCTATTCAGACTGCCTGGGGTCAAATCCCATTATAAGCACAGGAATTTATTTGTAATGCTTACCTTGACTTCCACATCAATAAACTCTAGACAGTACTATTCTACATCTCAGAGTTGTGAGGAGGCTTAAGTCAAGTGTTTCAAGAAAACTTATTACTCCTGTCAACTTTTTGCCCTCCAGGGCACAGAACATTGTAATACTGATACAGGAAAAGAACATGAATCAATGGAGAATATGGTTGATAGCTCACCTAAGCTAGAAGGGGATTTCTTTAAAAGTATCATTATGGTTATAAACATAACACTGATGGAAAATCAATTTTAAACATGTCTAATACCAGAACCTGATTCTAAACAGTAAAATCTCTTACATGGAATTAACACAACTTCTCTACCTGTAAGTAAGCAGAGCAATAAACAAATACTTGTTCTCGATAACTGGGCCAAAGTAAGATTAAGGTGAACTAATATGTTAGTGTTTGCGCCCTTCCCTTTCTATCTACACTCATGAGTTTCTTGCACATGCTTCAGAATTTTAAATCTTCTGGAAGTCATTTACACAAAGTCATGCAAATATCCTTTTCTGAGAGAACATGTCCAAAAGAGAAACACTTTGAAAAAATAAATGTATGTTAGGTACAACTAAGCAGCACTCTTTCTCAAATATTTTTTCAAGTGGTAAAAACCATACATGCTTGTGAAAAATACAGTGGAAGAGCAAATGAAATAATTTGGAAGTTTTTATTTCTTCCTCCCCTCCTTGCTAACATTTGATAGGCAACCTTTCAGACTCCTCTCATCCATCCGTCCATTCAACCGTCCATCTTTCTAGTTATCTATATATTGGCCCATACAGAGATTATATTACCAAATACTGATTCAAACATTTCCTTTTAACACTGCAGATGTGCCATACTTGTAAATGTTGATTGGACTAAGTATTAAGTATTCATTTAGAATATTTAACATAGCACATAAAGAATACAGATTGCTTCAGGATGCTGAGCTTTCTTTGGTTTGATAATATTTTAAGCAGTAGTTGATTTTAATTTTTCAAATGATTACTTGAAATCATAGCCACTTAAATATGCCATCATAATAAACTCATCTTAATTTTACCTTGTAAAAATAAGAAACTGTGTTTACATATTTGATACTATAAAAAATGGGGACAATGGTATTGCAAATGATTTATCTTGTAACAAATCATAAATGCCAATTTTCCCATTTTTTTACTTTTTGGTGACCTAGCAATCTATAGCTACATATCTATTTACCATGCATTTTAATTCTAGGCCTTCTTGGAGGTGGGTCAGAGTGGGAAGGGACTTGTACTATCCACATTCTACTCGCTAAATAATTTCCATTATATTCTCTGAAGGATCAGCCTACATCCCTCCACTAATTTTCATGTCTCTCCAACTAAACACCAGTCTTAACTCTCCTCAGTTAAAGAACTAGGAGAAAAAGTTACTCAGGACAAGAACTGTAAAGTGGCTGAGAAGCAGGTTTGAATTAGATGCTGGAGAGGGCGCCTCTGAGTCTGGAATGAGCTTGTTTGACTTCATTTAACTCTCTTCTCACTGGCTCTTTTCTAGCATTTATTCCAGCCACTCAGATTCACCACAGACCTCTAGAACTACTTTTCTTTGTCCATGGATTTATAAAACATCTATTTAAGCTTTTTTAATGCTAAAAACCTAGTAATTTCTTATGCTCTAATGTATTACACATCAAGTCATTTTGCATTTAAACCTATGATTAGGGTCTGCTTCTCCCTACATTATAGATGTAGAAACTAACACCACATGAAGAAAGTTACCCAGGGACTCATACTTGGTACCTGTCAAAATTTAGAGCCTGAAACTCAAGTCTGTCTGATACTGGAGTTGTACATTTAGTTATGACCTCTCCTAGGGAAGCACACACAATCCAACACAAACAGCACTGGCTTGGAAGTCAGCTCCCTTGAGTCCAAGTCTCAGCTGACACTAATCAGCTATGTGTCTCTGGGAAACCCCTTTAAATATTTGACCCCTCAGTGCTACCATTTCTTCATTTGTAAAGCTAACAGATTGATTGCTTCTGCCTTCTGATTTTATCATTTAGCTATTAAAACATTTTTGTAAACTGCCACAAAACACTATGAACTTAGGCAGATCTCATAAGCATAAGCACAAACACGATGTCTCTTAATCCTAAAATTGATGGTTGTGTATGAGCTTATAGAGAAACTGCCGAAAGCCTATTTTCTTTGAGAATCGACCATCCTTTATGTAACACTAAGCACACTAAGCAATGACTTTACATTCAACACACATTTCTTAATGACCAGCACTAAAATGGTTGTTAGAAGGGCTGCTCGCAAAATTTCCTTTCCTCCAAACACCTGCATATAAGCTCACAAACACATGTAGGCACACAAGGAAATATTGAAATTAATGGGTACAATGCACTTCCACTGTAGGAAGGCCAGACTCTAAGTTTCCTGAAATCAAAGTTTATTTTATTTCTTGAATTTTGCACAGGAAAATGGAACTCACATGGAGTGCCACCTCCCTCAGTGGAGGTGTAGGGCACTCCCGGAGATTCTCATGGATGACTCTGGTAGTCCATGAAGCAGAGCTACTGTGGTGGTGGCAAGATTGCATAAGCGAAGCAATAAAATAGTGAGACATGAATTGCTACACCTTGATTCCTCAGTCATGGATCGATTCTTGGGAACTGCAATTTTAAACAAAATAAGGTACAATAAAAGCAGTTTTGTTTTTTCTTCTTGTGAAAGCAGATTTTTTGATGACACCCTTTTATTCAAAGCAGGACTGCTTTGTCCTGCTATAAGGAGAGGTTGTTGAATAAAACACTTATTCAAGGACTGGCTATATGGGTTTTCTTTTAGAATCACTTATTTTTGAGCTTCATTTTGAATTTTTATTTAATATAATTACATTGCCACCAAATATATTACAAGAGAGATATTTTTCCTTTCTGGATAAACATTGCCTTGGAAAATAACGCAAGTCAGACTGATCCTAGTGAAATATCTTACACATTCCTTTAATTGCCACAGGACACCAGGCAAATCTGAGACTTCTTGAATGAAGTGTCCTCATCTGAAAGTGCATGCGGGTGTCTGTGCACGTGTGTGTGTGTGTGCACATGGTGGCAAAATGGATGATGATGTAACAGTAGCATATCCTCAAACGTTCCTGTGGTAACTGAGAGAACATCTAGCGAGGTCGCTCCTGTTCCCACACTCCACTATAAACGCCACTATAAACGCTGCCTCCTCACCTATAACCTTAGCAATTTCCTGTTTGCATCTCAAGAAGACATTGTCAAAATGCACTTACACCAGCCTTTTCCGACTCATTTATAATTTAGCAAATCTATCTCTGTCTTTAGCCTCTGACTTCTATGTAGTTGCACATTAGATAGCACGAGGAAGAGCTGTAGGTGGGGGCAGTCAAGTTCTAGGCGGTGTTCCTTAAGGGAAATACACTTTTCTGCTGAAGTAGAGACAGTTGTGTTTAGGATAGTCAGGGAAAGAAGTTAATGAGCTCAGAGAGCCGTGATTACCAGGTTAGCTGGTTTAGAATGTCGACTCAATTTAAGTCAAGGGGTGGTCTCAGTTATAAGGGCTTATCACTGCACTTAATTTTCTACTGCTCCTAAGATGAAGTCAAGAATTCTGGCCTTATCGATTGAAAACTTCTTTTGAATTCCCAGTGCCTAATTTTTGCAGGATGAACAGAAGCATCACAAATAGCTTTCACATAACAAACACCTTTTGGGAAGCCAAAGGTGAGCTGATAACGGTTTTGCCTTGATGGAAGGAAATACCTTACAAAAAGAAGAAAAACTAGAATTTTTGAAAATAGAACTGGGTCCCAGGCTTCCCGCTGGGTAATCAGGGCATCTGAGAGCAAAGTCCTCTGATGACTGGGCCTGGGTTTCTGCTCTGGTGGCTACTCTCAATGCTACCGATTAGCACAAGCTAAACTTGCTCCTTTGTGTCCATCTAACTGTACTTCCCTTTCAAAACT